CTGTATGATAGGAAGTGGAGGCTGCAAGAGGAAACAAGCCCCCTGAGACTGTTTTCTGTTCTACAAAAAGAAAACATTTGCACACCCTGAAGATTTACGAGTATCAAATACAACGCATGCAAAAAGCATCTTGCATAGTGTTTGAGCCACAGTATGAACTCAACAGACAGTTGTTATTTTTAAGATCATTCTCATCATCTCCACCCTTTGAGGTTTGTGGACAGTTATTATCATCCTGTTTACAGATGGGGAAACTGGCAATAAAATGGGCTGTGTGATTTGCCCCAGTTCCTGGCCTGCCTTTAGCCTTGGAGTAATCTGGAACAAGCAAACAGGAGGAGACCCTTAGATCCTATCATAAATACTGGAAGTTACAACTGAACCAGGTAGTCTGGTATAGGGAGAATATCGACTGCTGGCCTGCACACTCTATTCCTCTTCTATCTGCCTCTGCTGCATCCCATCCCACACAAAGATTCACACATTTGAGATCAACCAAGTGTGTAGTTAAACCATACCACACCCCTCACAAAAGTCACCCACAGCTACTCCCCAAGATACTTTGTAGTTATGTTTTGTAAGTCCCGAAAGTAGTAAAGCAGGAAGGTCTGGGGTTGTGGGGTTCAGATTTTGTGAAATTTTTTGTCTGTGGAAAAGGATGAAATTTGCAGAGGGACCTGCAAAGCATGGGCACGGGGCAGAAACATCCTGAGCCTTATCTCAGCCAGAAAATTGTGAATTCTAGCTTCAAAACCCTCTCCTCTCCTCCGCTCTCTCTCTCTCTCTCTCTCTCTCTCTCTCTCTCTCTCTCTCTCTCTCTCTCTCCCTCCCTCTTTTCCTCCCCTCTTTTCCCCTCCCCCTCTTCTCTCAATGCCCCACTGTGATACTGAACTGTACCAATGACCTTAGGTACGGCCTAATAGTATGCCTTGTGCACCAACAAAATGACTAACTCAGGTTCAACTTCTAAGCTATCATTTAACATCAATTAAAGCTAATATCCTCACTATTTATAATCTACTTATCTACATATGTCAACAAAGCTATTGCCACTCACAATCCAGGACACCGGATACTTGCCATGCAATGCTGTTTTAACATTTGAGCATCAACGATGTACTGATTGTAACTAGACAGAATCAAGCACAGGTCTGACAACGTGCCAGCTGGTACTCCTACACCAAACAACCCCAAATCAAAGTAAGTCATCTCTCATGGTGCCTCAGAATGGCAAGTAGAAAAATGAGGCTTTTGGTCCTGCGTTCATCCATCTAGAAAATTTGATAATACATAGAAAGACAGGTCCAGAGATATATTTCAAGATCTGGCCTTAAGATAGTTTCTACTTATAGCTTTAAAGGCCTTTTTTCTAATACATCCCTAGGCGAGTTGTATAGATTAGGTGTTCTGAGTCATTTTGTTTGTTTGGTTTGGTTTGGTTTTTTAAACTCCTGTGAGTCTGGCTACATACAACAGAAGATTTTGGAGAGATAGTCATTTAAACCTACTCAGTACCTAGTATCAGTCCAATATTTATTGCCTATTTGTTACAGGCTGGGCGCTGACTCATTCCTTCAAATAGACAGACGGATATGTGGGTGCTTGTGTCATATGCCAGGCACTATTTTAAACAACCTGCCTTTCCATGGAGATGAGGGTGATGGAAAGATCCAGAAAGCCGCCTGCACTGCTGAAACAGAGCTCCTGCCCTCCACTTTTCCCAGCTGTATAACAGTCTCAAGGCCAAGTTTCTACCCAAGAGCTTGAAATTCCTCGAACTTTCTCCTTCCTCAGAAACACTTATTTTTCCAGTTCCTTTACCGTCAAAGTAAAGTGAGTAAGAGTCTCAAGAGAGCTGAAGCTAATTTAGACCCTGAGTCGTTCTCAGCATGCTGTACCAGCAAACGCTGAATTCAATTGCAAACTGCATCCCAGAGAGTCTCCATGGGGAGCACAGTGACAGACAGGGAAGCAAGGCTGGTTCAGGCCAAAGGCCTTTAAAGAGCCTGGGCACTGTCTATCAAAGCACAATTCATAATCAGAATCTTGGGTTTCATTTTAGAGGTGTCATCAGTTCAGAGTTGAGGATGGCTGTCACA